AAGTGGGTGGTGAGGTTATTGAGATAGAGTAGACAGAAATATCTGCCCGGCCCAAGATAAATAAGGCAGTTATAAAATCTAACAAGTGTCTTTTATTTGTGAAAGCAAGTTAATTAATACCACTGCAATAATCATAGGGCAAAGAATAATAAACATTATGTAGTCCAACACTCATTTTTATTTACTACAACATACTATGTTTAAGTAACCAAACATAGGTGCCTTATAATTTAAATGTATTAATTCAATTTTTTCTTTCATTCTCTGACATAATTGTTTACTGATTTTTTTGTTTTGTTTCTTTGAAACAGGTTTTCATTCACCCCATGCTGGCCTCAAACTCACTATGCAGCAGAGAAACTTTTAACTCTCAAGTGCTATAATTACAGGTGTATCTGTGCCTGTTTTTTTTTTTTTTTTTCATCATTATTTATTTCTTTATTTTGTGGTACTGGGAACAGAACAGGGCAAGTATTTTATGGCTGAGCCACATTCTGAGCAGAAATCTTACTGTATCAACAATCTATTATAATTTTTCTCTTATTCACTGTGAAACAGTCTCTTTTTCTCTGTTTCACTGAGCTGGTACATTTTTTTTTTAATTTTTATTTTTTGAGCTGGTACATTTTTGAGGAATGCCTTTGATGTTATTTAGTATTCTATAGTACACCAATCAGTAAACAGAAGTTAGTCAATAATGGATACAGGTAGATTTTTTTCTTTTTTAACTGATAGGGCTAAATCATCAAAATGTCTAGTCTACTAATTTGTAAATTGAAGGTTTGAGGGTAGCAGGAATTTTGCTTATGTGACACCTGCCAACAGCTTTCCCAGATGTATCAAGAAGAATAATTTTTCAGGTGTCTACTACATTTAGCTCCTATGTATCCTAAAAGCAATACTATAATATTTTAGTATAATCAGAGGGCAGTTATCATTAGACTGTGCTTCCTGGCACTTTTCTAGTTAAAAAGCAGAGCATCTTCCTAATGCTAGCTTAATAAATATTTGTATTGGAACCTGTTAATACTGTTATTCCACAATCATCAAAGATTTTTTTTTCTACTCTAGATATTTTTTTCCCCTTCTTAAGGGAATAATGAGCCTTGTTAAGATTTTCTTAATTAAAAAATTAGTATCTTAAAAGTCAGTCCATACTAATTTATCTATCAAAACAACTAGAAACCAGTAAATTAATTTAGGGTCTCTTGGTATCTACAGCATTCATTTATAAAACTTTAATTTTATAGAGTTTGCTTAATGGAAATTACGTCATGATAATGAGAAGTGAAAATGAAAGTAAATTTGCAATTAATATCTTATTAAAGCCAGCCCTTCCCCAGCAGAAGCTCATACAAAGTATCAATTTCACTACACAGTAATTCTCAACCTTTCTTTTTCCAAAGAAAACTCTAGGACATCACCAACTGTAAGTTATATATGCTTATTATGCAATGGTTGTAGTTGTGGTGGGGAGTCCTGATATCATGCCTTTTAATAACACACATCTCTGTGCTCAAATTAAAATGTTAGCTTCCTTGAACAAAATCATACTTGTTTATATTATGCTATTTTTCAAACTGTTAACATTCAAATCCAATTTAAGTATTGTATGTGATGAAATGAAAATATTGACAACATATCAATTAAAGTTTAAAACTAAAACCTTTCAACAAAAGTTATACATAAAAGCACTGTACTATCACATTTAATACATAGACAATTGGTAAAAATATTTTAAGGCTGGTTTTATAAAATTTTGTAAAACTTATTTATCCAGATGAGTTTCTTTCTCTTCAAAAGAGCTACCTTTTGTTAGCATGTGAGACCATGCTAACACTATTCAATCTTTTTGGAACTATTCTTGGTGACAATTATTTTAATTGAGTTAGATACAGAAAGAAAATTCATTTACTTTTTAAGCCATAGGCAAATATTCTCAAACTTGATTCATTTTCACCTTAATTAAGAAAATCTTTTTTTTTTTCAATTTTCACTATAATAAATCTATCTTGTAAAAAAAAAAAAAAAAAAAAAAAAGCATTATTAGCCATGCACACTAAGAATAAAGCACAAGTAGCTTTAGGAGCTACCTCCGTGTTGGTGACAAGGCCTCTTATTAATGACTTCGTTGTATTGACTTGCATGTGTTAAGTTCTGGTCAGCCTGTTTCTAAACGAGAATCTGCCCTGAACGCCGTGCTCTGCTCTGTAACCTGTATCTTACACAGTGCATTAGTGAAATGCATCTCAGCCTCTGAGGTTAGTAAGCTGAAGTGTTTCTGTGTTAGGCAGATAAAAAGGCACTACTTACTGAACTTTTCGTTTCTGCAGCTTTTGCCTTTCTTAGTCTTGTTTTTGCAGCATCCAAATCCAGTCTCTTATTCTGTAACAGTTTCCTTTCTTTCTACAAATAAGCAAAAAGCAAAAAGTGAAGCTAAAGATGCTAAGATCTGTAAGACCATCCACACTTAAGGAGTGTGTGTGCTAGCTGGCAAGGGCTGTGCAGTGACCCCACAGCCTTGTTTGCTTGTTTTGCTTGTTTTAAATGGGATACTCACTACCTAGATCAGACCAGGCTGTCCCTGAACTTGCGGCAACCCTCCTGCCTCTGCTCTCCAAATGCCAAAGTTACAGGCATATTATACCTGGCATTTCCCCCTTTCTCTTTTAAAACTACTTCAAAACATTCCCGATTCTGAATCCGAGGAATCTGGAAAAGATGTTCCAGAAACAAAGGTTTTAGTATCCTGCTATGTTTCCCTCCCACTAGGTTTCCCTCTGGGGAACGTCTGACAGTATCGTCATTGTCACACTAGAGGGTATCAAAAGCATTTACTGGGCAGAAGGCAGGGAGGCTGTGAACCAGCCTACAGTGCAGTCCAGCTCCCACAACCAAGAGTCATCTGGCCTACAGTGTCGGAGGCTGACAAGCTGTTCCAGGCTGTTAGAGAGGCCTAGGACTCGATTTTGCGGAGTCCTATGTGATCTCCCTTACAGACTGGGCAGGCTGTTCTTAATATGTCACAGCAGCAAATGTACTCAACTCTTCCAAAACAGAATTTCAAATATACAGGTGAATAATATATAAACAATATATTGTTCCTTATAATAACTCAAGTTACTATATAATGCTTTATACTAACTGCAACGGAGTCTGTTTTCTTAATTTTTATAATCCACATCAGATTTCATCCTATTGACATGCTATTATTATTTTTTAATGGAGGGGACTGAACCTGCATTCATCATGCTAGGCAAGCACTCTACCACTAGGCCATAGTTTTGGCTTAAGCTAGTTACTTCAATTCAAGCAAAACTCAATCCACTTATGTACACAGAAACCATGGTAAACATACTGAAACCTTCCAGGACATTCTGAGCATGTAATATGCAAATGAAAGTTTGGGGTCATATATACAACAATGAGTAACACTGAAAAAGTCTTATGGAGAATTATTCACGAAGGGCTTCATTCTCTGTCAGTAATAAGAAAAGGTTTCTGGATTAACAGACTAAGTTTAGAAAGAAAGTAACAACATAAATATTTATGCTTCAGCAGTAAATAGCATTTTAAAACAATACAGCTCTTGGAATATATAGCTAAAGTATAGGAACAAAAATATAATTTTTAATAACTAGGTTTCCAGTTCCAGTTTAAATTAACATGCAAGTATACTATAGTGATATTTTATTTTCATAATTATTTCAGGAATTTCTCCATAGATCTGAGTGTTGGCAATGCATGAATATCAATGTACAGGCATATAAACAACATGGTAGGAGTAAAAATTGGGGCTTATGTTACTAACAGCCCTTTCTTGAGGTTTAGTTTGTGTTCTGGTGAATATGCACCTGTATAGAATATTTAAGCATTTTAATCTTCAACATTTATCATCCCTAAGAGGGTAGATTATTCATTTAAAATGAAGCATAAATCTAAACTATGTGAAAAAGGGAATGTTTTCCAACTCACTGCGATTGTTTTGTAATCCCCTTCTATAAAGTTTCTTAAAGGAGTGAGGAAATTTAAGGCTGATGTTTGAATCAGCTCTCTGTCAGCTGTTCCGATTCGCTTCTGTGTTTCTCCACATTTAATAAGGGCATTGCCTGCAAAAGAACAAAAAATTGTGTATATTTAGTGGTCTAGTAATATCAGAAAATTAATCATATAACTTACCTACTTGATCTGCTTAAAAGTTAGTTGCCAGCCTGTTTACCTCAGCAGAATAAAACAGGTTATTCAAAAGTAAATTTAAGGTAAGTATCTAAACAAAAAAGATAAAATGAATTAACTGCCTATCGTAACTATGATTTCTAACAATGAGATTAAAGAGGACAGATACATGAAGACACAGCTGGCCTGGAGATATAGTCCAGTACAAAATAAAGTGTTTCAACAAGTAGGTCAAGTTGCAATCTACATTATCAGATTCTATATATATCTATTCACACCTCAAATTCTATAAGTAAGAGTTATATGAAGAGCTCCTGCGAAGACACCAGGGGCAGCCTGAGGTGTTGGACAATGGGGACAGTGGGAACTCTCAGGGGCCACATTCACTAGGCATATGTCCAGGGGCAATCAGCACCCATGGACCTTTTCTCAAAACAAGGGCTTCTTTCTACCTTTTTAGACTCCCTAGATTGTCACATGGTTCAAAGGAAAGCCTATACATCAAACCTGGAAAGCTTGAAGACATTTAAAAAGCTTTATGTGAAATCCATTCATTTTTGTTATCATATGCTAGGACTGATGGATAGTATTAATTGTCAACATGACAGAATCTACAATTGCCTAGGAGGGGGCCTCTGGGCATGCCTCGGCGGGGGGGGGGGGGGGGGGGGGGGGGGGGCGGCTGTTAACTGAGGTAGGAGCACACATCTTCATTGTGGGTGGAACTCTTCTCTGGGCAGGGACTTCTGACTTGAACCAGGATGAGGCGAGCACAAGGCTTCATCTCTGCTTTTAATGCAGAAGCAATGATCTCTCTCTTTTAGGTGTCTGCTCTGTGACTTCCTGCCGTGACCCCACTGTAATCTGGACGTGTGAGCCAAAGGAAACCCTTTGTCCCTGGGAAGGAAGGAGGGACAAATAAGCTCATGTTTAACAAAAGGTAAACCCTAACACGTAAACATTTAAAGTAGCAAAACAGAGTTAGAGAGCAGAGCAGACAGAAATGGAATGCTGCAATTGGGATTCCATTTCCAGTCCTACCTCCAGCTAGCTTGGACTCTTAGCTTAATCCTCTTAGTTAAAATGAGATTAGGTCCAGTTTAGTAAGGAGCTAAGAACTCCTGTCTCTGGGTACAGACATCTGTTAGCAGTATGGTCACAGATTATTTAGGCTCTTCAAACCTAAATTTCCTCATTTTTAAAATGGGCATTATAGAATTTCTACTATTAACAATGTTACACGTGAAGATCCTGTCTCGAAATTCCAAAAGGTATAAAAAATGAGGATTCACCAAAATAATTGTGCTTAGACCAATGCCTGGGATATCCATTTTTTAGCTACTATTTTCTAGTAATGTATCCTCAGAGTCTAGTTCCAATTACCAGATACGTTCGGCAGAATTACTAAAAGTGCAAACAGATTAAGAAAAAGAGACAATCTAAAATATTTTAATATTCCTATTATACTAGGTTTCTGATAGGCAAAGACAGTGGTCCAGAACAAGCAATACATCATACATACAGCATGAAGTTTCTCTAAAATTACCAGTTACAGCTTAATTTCAAATTTAACCATTTCAGATTCTCAGACTTAGAATTATAAAGATTACACTGTAAATAGTTCAATGTTACACACATACACACTCAGCAATTCAATTGATTAATGGCATTAAATGATATTTAGGTTTATTACCTTCTGACACAAAGAGTCTATTAGCTATAGAAATCTGAAGTAGTCCTATGTCATAGAAAATTAGGTCTGATAATAGAATCATGTTGAGGTCTGTATAGGGCCAGAGATAGCTTAATAGGTAAAGGTGTTTGTTACACAGCCTGACAGCCTGAGTCTGATCCCTGGGACCCACAGGACAGAAGAAGAGACCTAATTCCTCCAAGTTGTCCTCTGACCTCTGCATGAGCACTGCGGCATGTGCAGACACATTCATATAGGAACACACATTCACACACATGTACACAAAGCAAAATCAAACAATCAAAACAAAAAACAAACCTCCCAAAGGAATATAATACGTTACTACAGCAACTAATGAAGCCAGGTTACCTGTAAACACATGACAGAAAACATGAGCTAGAAATGCAATGCATTCTGCATTTCCAGAGATGGTGACTACTGACAAACTCTGGGTGCTAATGTCGCAAAAGTTAAACAAAAGCAATGTGGTTTGTCCAAATATTTACTAGGTGTGAAGTACTTTTAATATAAAATAAATAAGCACTCAAAGTTTTAATGTAAGTCACTATAACAATTAGTACTACAATAGAAGTATTAATTTTTAGATGTAAAAAAGATGTGAATACTCTAAATAATTATGTATTTTTTCATCAAAATTTAACATAATAAACTTGATGTTAACACTGATTCTATCATATGCGGACATCTTTTAATAGTAAAAATCTAAATGTGGGAATATTTCTGTTCAGAACCTTTCGCTTTCACTTACCATAAGCTGTCCCCGGGCCAAACTCAGTTCCCGCATCAATCATATATTGTCCCAAAAGCTCCGGGTTGTTTATACGACTTGGTGCTTTTCTATCCAGTTTCTCATACACAAATTCTTCTATCCTGGCATCTAGAAGAGAAGTTAGAAACATCAGTGTTTCACAAGAGCAAAAGAGTCAGGCATGGTAACACATCCCTGAGACTCTGGCTGTAGGGGAATCCAAGGCCAGCTGCCATTACACTTGAAGACCTTTACTCCACAAACCAAAGCCAATGAAAATAATTTTAAATGAGTTAGCAATTATTTCAAAAGAGCAAAATTTAAGAGACTGTTCACCTTCCAGTCACTGACTACCTCTTAAAAACACAAAACTAGCATTTATTCTAGCATGTATCTTTAAGTATAGCTCTATATAATTATATGTTGACTATTCTATAATCACTAAAGGCTTATAATTCAGAAACCTGGTAATGTATCTAGGCACAAAAACATTCTAAAGTTAAACTTGACATTTGGGTATTCTTTGAGATTTTAAGTTTCAGAAGAGATATTATAAACTTAGTATCTACTGAAATTGCCTTTAATCTACTCTGAAGTTATATTTATGATTTTAAAATCAGAAATATTCAGCTAGAGAAATATGGATTCAAAGTATCTGAGGTCTAAGAGTCATATCTTGTATGATAATTTAAGTGTTATTGCACTGTGCCCAGGATGTCCAGACAAGACGCCTCACTCAAGGCTCACTCTCATACTTTTAGAGGTTTTGACAGGCTAACTGCAGGGGCACACAATTATTACTATTTTTATAATACTTGAATTTTAGACTATGGAACTTCACAATGTGCTCATTGTAGCACTGAGGGACAACATGCATTGATGCCTTTCCCCTTCAGTTTGGTACCTAAAGAGTACCTTTATAGGACTACATGTCAACACATTTGGTGCTAGTTTGAAGCTCTACTTCCAGTTAGCTTGCTACGTTGCATGACAGGCTCACTTAGTAGTTCCATTCTGTAAGAATGAGTGTACACCTCATCTGAAAGGCACTGACTGTGTGATTTTCAACACTTTGGGGTTGTCTGAAAATCAAGGGTAATGACTTATGGGAAAATATAAAACTTAAAAAGTCAAGTCTTTAAAAGAGGACTGCATAATGTTATTTGTAAATGTATTAGGAGGTATGCAGAAGCATTCATCATCTCCTCTACCCCAAATCACACATACATAAAAATGCCATAGATCCTGAAGACACAAATACTCTACTTTCAACCTGGAAACCACTGACTAGCAATACTTAGGGCAGAGGAGAAATAAAATGTCTTACTTGGATTTGGCTGCAATAACACTTCAGTCTGTTTCATTATTTTTTCTGTCCATATTTTGGTACATTCAGCTTTGCTAAGGAGGTTTTCCAAGTGAGCATCCAATTCTGTCTTCTCTGCTTGGCCAAGTTTTTCTTCTGTGAACTGTGATTATACAAAACACATATATAAATATGTAAACACAATTACACAGAAAACTATCAATGAGTAAAAATCAAATTCAAATCCAAGCAATCGTAAACCTATGATTATACTCCACTCTTGTTTTTCAGTCATTGCTTATGAGCGCTGTTCTGTGCCTGTGTCAATCCATCCTCCTACTCCTACCATAGCACCTGCGATGACTTTACCCTCTGCTATATTGCATGATGTGGACTCTGTATTTCATGGCACATAAATATTCCTCACATAAAGACTGAGGTTTGGATATCCTAACTGTATGCTTACTGACATGGGCAAGCTTTGCAGGCTTTTTTTCCTTTTGCATCCTTTATCATGAAAAGGACATAATAGATATATCCTTCTCAGATGGGGTTTACTGTAGAATGGCTCTTTTTTTCTGCCTTGGCTTCCCAAACAATACATGCTTTAAGGATTAAGTAAGAGTGTCTATAGAAACAAATCTCTCTGCTTAGAGCTTGGTAATTATTATTAAAATTTAAGACATTTTAATTGTTCTATAACCATACCCAAATTATACATTTATGGGGTCTTCTGAGCAAGCATCATTTTGGTTGTTTCTCCAGGGTATGTTCCAACATTGTGTTCATAGGCTACTTTCATACAGTAGAAATTGTTTTTTTTTTTTTTTTTAAGTATGTGTTTGTGTGTCTGAGAGTGTAGGTGCACACAGATTCCAGAAGAGGGCACTGGACCCCTTGTAGCTGGAGTTACAGAGGGTTGTCAGCCACAAGATGCAGGTGTTGGGAACTGAACTCAGGTCCTCTGTCTGCAGGAGTATGTGCATCTTTATCTGCTGAGGCACACAGTAGAGACCACAGTGGAAGTGTTCTTGCTGATCATATGGAGCCTTCTGGATACTTTGAGTTAAACAACAGATGTGATATCTGAGGCTCTTATGTCACATGTAATTTTCTTCTAGAATATATGGCTTTTCTCCTTTAATGTAGGAAAATCAAGACTCAACAGTTAGCTAAAAAACAATGTTTACCTCGGCCCTTTCCCCTCCTCTCATTTCTTATAGTCCTTTCTTTTTCTGAGTTTTATATCCATCTCTTTGGGCCTCATTCTTCTCAGCTTAATGCTTTCAAAGGATTATCAGCACTCTTTGCTGAAGGTCCTTCATCATATTCTTCACCAACAACCCTATCTAGGGCCAGAGACCAACTCAGTGAGTAAGCTGAGAACAGCGGTTTCAGAGCTACTTTCTCTAGACTCCCAAACTTGTCATATACCATACACAGGCAGCACACTATAACTAAGGACTGGGCAGCAACAATGGCAAACCCTGATCCCGAGGTCAGCCATGTAAACTGCAATCTCATTTTTAGAAGAGAGCCTGGCATTCTTATTCTAAAGGATTTTAACTAGCAGACCTTTTGTAGAGGAATATGTTAGAATTTTACATGTTAAAGCTTTCCCTTCAGTGGTTAGGTAAAACTCAGAAAGCACAAGAAACACACTTAGGTGGACCTTAAGAGATGATCTTATCTTTTAAAATATATGCCATTTGTTCCTTCAACAAATATCAAGCTTCTCTTTAAAAAATGTAAAATTCCGTTTTATTTAATGTGTATGTGTGCATACAAATGCTCACAAGTGGCAGTCAGAAGACAACTTGCTCTCACCTTTAGTCATGTTGGCCCTGGGGACAGAACTCAATTATCAGGCATGCTGACAAGGGCTTTCCTGACTGATCCATTTCCCTAGTCCTCAACAGTATTAAGAACCTATATGTGTGCTAGTACTAGGGTAAGCATTCAGGTTTCCAACAAACCGGGCAAAGTATCTGTTCTTAAGAATCTACTATTTTTTATAGGGAAGAAAAATAAAAACCCTAAATATTCAAGAATAAGGATGTAAAGATGCTGCACAGAAGACCAACGTGGGTGATGCTATTTTTTTTTTTTTTTTTCTGAGTGACATAATAAATTTCCATCTAGAAGAATATAATGATTTGGAAGAGGAGAAATCAGGAGACTTGGGGACATCTTCACCGGGGAAGAAATGAGCCAGGAAGAAGCAGGGGAGTCTAGAGGGAACAGCAACCCTGAGAAAAGAACAGCTCATCTGCCACTGAGATGAGCTCAGCAAAGACTTTAGGAGGGGGAGGCACACAGTGTTCTTTTGATGATTTCCAGTTGCTCTTTCTACAGGTTTATTATTACCACTTTAATGCACAGTAAACATAATTTCCTTATAGAAATCTCTATTATAACCAAGAATAGACTTTCAAAGAATAGATTAATAACATCATTAATTTAAAATCATTATTAGGTCAGTCTTGTGTAAGGTACCCTTCTAATAACAACATTTAGTTTCTGTTAAAGGGTAGAACTGAAATGCATTATCTAAGAATTATGAAAATACAGGCTCCCTTTCCAGTATGCAAAATGTCAGTTTTGTCTAACATATTTAGACGTACTATATTTAAAGGAGCAGATTAGAAACTCTGATTGTGATGTCTGTGATAGTGACTGTAATAATCACTGAGTTTACTGAGACAAGTTAGGAGTCAAGCAAGTTTTGGGATAGTATTTCAGAACTAATGATGAGAAGGTAGGAGCTGTAAGATTAAGAAACCCCTTCTCTCCCACATTGGTTTTCATTATGGTGCTTATCACAGCAAAAGAGAGCAAACTACAACAGTGACTTAGACAGTAAGAAGATGCAAAAATGAGCAGGTTTTACTTTGTAGTTCAGTTACAATGAACAAAACAACAAACTCTCAAAGGCAGTAATAGCAAACTCCTCATGGGTAACAGGAAACTTTCCATAAGAGTCTGAATGTAGAAATCTGTTTAGAAAAACAGTTCTCGGGGAAAGTCCACATGACCAAGGTACTTAGGTACCATGCTCACATTCATTCTCTGTTCTCACTATACTCACGTCTATGCTTCACATTTCAGTAAACATAGTTCTGTTATTTAGTTTTCAAAGTTTTAAGAAATCTATCTACTACCACCACCACCACCATTATTGAGAGGCAGACAGCTGTGGTATGTGCAACCATGCCCAGCTTTTTTGTAAAATATTTTCCTTTCTTCACCCAATAAGATAATGCATCTTTGTCATGCTTCTGAATTTCCTAATGTCAGGACTTAGTCTGTGTTCAAAAATTCCATATACTAAGTTATGTATCTTATTTATATCAGATATTTAAAGAAATCACACAGGTAAGAACAATAATTCTAGTGATGAATAGGATTGGAGTGATTCAAACTATGTCTAAGGTTTAAGTATTGGGGTTGAATAATTTACTTGTTTAGCAATTTTATTTTACTCCCTTGATCCAAATATACCATAAGTCTGTGTCCTTGTGCTGTGTACTAGCTTACAGTATTGTACACCTATCTTTGCTTCTTACAGGATACTCAACTAATTACTGAATTAAGGATGGCTTAATTGCAGTCTTGGAAAAAAAAAGAGGCAGGAGGGGGATGTTACATTGCTAATGTTTCTAACTTGAAATAATTTAAATTTCTTTACCAGGAATAAAAAGAACGGAGTATTTCCCGTGATCTTATATTTAGGGACTGAACTTCTCAAAAAGTATGAGCTGATGCAGTTTTTCATAGTTTCAGATATAGCACAGTAAAATGGCACGGGGATAGAAAGTGTAATTCTTTACATATTCTCTCTGAACACAGCTTTAAGAATTGTCTAAGCTGAGAGCATTAAATGTATTAATAAAATTCAGTCACTTATATATTCTACTCTAACAGTTTTTTAAGTACCAAGACTTGCCTATTATATACATGAATAGTTTTGAACTTTTGTTTCTTTTTACAAGAAAAAATAATTTTTAATAAAAATGTCTAAGTAAAATGAAAGCACCTACAGAAGTTGACCAGAGAATGATCCTTTTAAAAGTGCAATTTGAAGGGGGAGATAGAAAGACCTGGAGAGGACTGGAGCTCCACAAGGAGAGCAACAGAACCAAAAAATCTGGGCCCAGGGGTCTTTTCTGAGACTGATACTCCAAACAAGGACCATGCATGGAGATAACCAAAACCCCTGCAGAGATGTAGCCCATGGCAGCTCAGTCTCCAAGTGGATACCCTAGTATGGGGAACAGGGACTGTCTCTGACATGAACTCAGTACCTTGCTCTTTGATCACCTGCCCCTGAGGGAGGAGCAGCCTTATCAGGCCACAGAAGAAGACAATGCAGCCAGTCCTGATGAGAACTGATAGGCTAGGGTCAGATGGAGGAGGAGGAGGACCTACTCTATCAGTGGACTTGGGGAGGGGCATGGGAGGAGATGAGGGAGGAAGGGTGGGGTTGGGAGGTAACTAAGGAGGGGCTACAGCTTGGATACAAAGTGAATAAACTATAATTAATAAAACAATAAATAATTTTTAAAAAATGAACAGAAAAGCAATCAAAAATAATTATCAGTGGCTAAGACCCCATACAGGATCATAAGTACTTGAAAAAGAAAAGGACCATAATAACTTCATAGTATTATATACCCTGTGTCAAATGTGTTTGCTATACTGTAAGTGCCCGTTAAACTGAAATTAAATTGAATAAATGGATAAATATTCTTGAATTCATGAATTGGCAGCAAACAGTAAAAACGGGCTACAGCTAGGATACAAAGTAAATAAACTGTAATTAATAAAAATAAAATAAAATTTAAAAGAATAGATTTAAGGACAAAAAAAGTGCAATTTGATTTGAAAGGAAATTGTTTAGCAGTGTGAGAAAGCTTACTTCTACTAGTCTTGCTTATAAAGAGTCACTGGTGCGGCTCTTAAACTATTCTTAGTGCGAAACTTGGCACTTTGGTATTGTACAGATATCATCATAGCTCAGAGTAATGACTCAGTTACTGACTAAATGCTAGAATAAGAAAACAGTGTTTTGTCTTAACTAATATGCTAGCATTCCTGATTTCATGCTGCATTTTAAAAAATACCCTCTTTTCCTTATAGATTTAATTTAAAAAAATACCATGGAACGTGTTAAACAAACAAAAGACTAACAGTATGGTGAAAACAGTATAATGAAACTTCATAAACCCTTACCCAGAATTCAACAACTATCAACATTCTGCTAATCTGCTTTCAACTACCTGGTCTTGTCTTCTGAAAAGCTGTAAAGCGAACCTCAAACTTTCTAAGTTTCACCATAAGTTTTCAGTGTGTAATGCTGACAGTCTTAACATTAAGAGACACAATCAAAATCTCAGTTTTAGCTCTCTCCTTAATGAATGGTTGAAGCAACACTCCGTGGAGTCATTTTTCACATCTTTGCCTCCTACTCCAAGGGCTACTCTGACAGCTGACACTGTCAGCTGAGTCGTATGTGACAGCTCTCTCCCAGCTTGTCTCCCCTGTACCCTAGCGCCCAGAGTGTTCCAACTTGTTTCTCTTATCTGAAACACCTTTCTTCCAAAATAAGAACCAAACAACAGACAGTACATCTCTCTGTGTCTCCACTGCTCCACTCAGGTGTCCTGGCTCGCCATCCTACTCCGACGGCATGCTTAACTCTCCTGGAGCTGCAGCAATGACAACTGCCACCGCGACTCTCCCCAGCGGCTCCTGCCACCCACACACTCAGTCTGTATCCTGCTGGACTCAAGTTTCATGAGGAGAAACACTTTGCTGATTTTATTCGCTGTCAATCAGTGCTGTTCCTAACACTGAAGCTAAACCTGGAATATGCGCTTGACTAAGAATGGAGAGACAATTATTTGCCACCTCACATATGATACAACTTAAAAGCCTTTTTAAAAAGCACTGCAAACAATGAGCTAAAAATTCATTTGGGAAGTGCAACTTTTACCAAGTTTTCTAGATTTACATTTTAAAGTTGAGTCTTTCAATAGTTTAGGCAGGATTTTGTAAATGTGCCCTGTTGAGGCAGAATGCATTATGTGTCTGAAACATAGTTAATTGTATTAAACTGTGGCATTAGTCAGTGTCACGTCTTCACTAAATACCCAGAGGAAGAGGTAAACAGCACTAAACAAAAAATTACCACAGCCTTTGTGGTCCTCTACTGAAGTCAATGTAAAGTCTAAAAAATTTGTATTTCATCCCGCAATTATTGAACCACACATTTCTGGGGAGGAAGGAGAATAAGGGGTTAAGTATGGCAGTTAGCGCGTCAATCCTCACATCTGTCCAGAAACCACATTCTGGATGGAATTTCCCATCTCTGAGATGGGATGATACTCGATGTTGATAATAAAGCGTTCAGATTTTTCCATGGTTCTTTTCGGGCCACATCATACTGCTGTTCTACATACCTTAAGACCGCAATGCTCATTCTGGGAGAAAAATCAGCTTTTAGTGCAGTAGTAGGTCAGAGGGCAACTGGCTGCATATTAGCAAGTCAGTCGAGTTATTTTCCCTCGCTGAGGCTGCTTCCTTTTATATGAGGGCTGACAATGCCTCTCTGGCAAAGTGAGAGAGGGCTGCAGCAAACGTGAAATGTACAGCAGACTGCCCACCACACTAGTTTTTTTTTTTTTTTTAATAAGACAGGCAGTCATTACCTTGGGCAACTCTCCATTCTTTTTTGTGCCAAGGAAAATGCAATATGGTATCAGCGGTGCCAATAAAATTAGAGTAAAGGAAACCAGAGATGAAGCAACACAGCTTCATTTCTGTAGTTCAGCATAAATCTGGCACATGGGACATTACTTTTGTTTTCTCCGTACAGAAGAGAATGCTGTTGCTACCCTATGTCACTAACTTAAACAGCAGATTGTTTATAAGCCGTGTTGTGAAATTTACATCTGCTCATAGATTTAACTGAGTTTGCATAATGCGGGTGTTGACTGTAAAAATCTGCCCAAGTTCCCTATTGCTGACACTTCCTTGATTACAGAATACAGAGACGCAGTGAACTTTTCCCCTCCAAGTG